ACCGTGTTCACGAATGGTCGTTTTGTTATGAAAACATTAATCATGATGCCCAAGTGAAGTTTGCAATATGTCTTTTGAGATTGAACTGAGGTTGTATTTCATGAAGATAGTTTGTGCTTATCTGTATTTTACATTATGTGCTTCTGTTCTTCTCTTTTTACAAATAGATTTGCAGTTATCTATTTCTTTGTGCCATTCCTCAAATGATAAGAAATCCCAAAAATCTGCTTCTGAGAAACAAAGTCCAGAAGACCACCTCTATGTCTTAGAGCATAATTTACACCTACTGATTAGAGAGGTAATGAAATAATGTCGTGGGTTTGGGGCTTTTTTCCCCTTTTCTTGCATTATGATCAGCTTATATAGGGCAGCGAATACACACAAGCCTCCCCCTCCTGAGGCTGGTTATTCATGGAGCAATAACATTTATTACCTGCTCCAAAAAATCCTTGCTGTCTGCTCAAGCAAACAAATACTCAGAATACAAACCCTATTCCCAAGAATTCTGTGTGGTGGTAGAAACGTGCTTGTCTCAAAAGTAGTAGAGGACTGAGAAACATATGCCAGATAATATAGAGGGAAGGGTGATTATTACTGGGGAAAACGCCTTGCCCCAGGGGAGACAGGAGAGAAGAAACCTCTCCGTCCCCGAGAGGAAGAGGGCTGAGTTCCTGCAGAGCATGCTGTATGTGGAAGTCCCTGAAGCTGTTTCCAGAGTGTGAGTTCACAATGTAGACTAAGTCCAGAGGAATCTTGAGCTCTGTTCAGATGAGCAGGAGGGTATATATAAAGGCCATTGTTATTAAATCTCTTTTTCAGGGCAGATAGCTCAGCAGATTAAAGCTCCTGCTTAGGCACACCCAGAGGCTAGGGTTTGATCCCCAGTGCGCCGGCCCCACGCCCAGGGTACACTGAGACAGTGATTGAGACTGGGTGTGGTCCGCGCACCTGTAATCCCAGCACTTGGGAAGCTGAAAACGGGGATCACTACGAGTCCGGTCTACATAGTGAGACCCTGTAGACCCTGTACTAAATACATTTTTTAAAAAAATATCTTTTTCAAGGGGTTTCTGATTGGCAGTCAGGTTTGGGAATCTCGAATTTGGTATGTAGTAGACCAGCTGTCTACTGATGGCATGTGTTCTCTTGATGAGACAGGGAAGAATATTTGTTTTGATTTAAAGCTTTAACAGTTACAGCACGACGGGGAGTTAGCTCAGTGGAATAAGTGCTTGCCTGGCAAGCGCAAGGTCTGAGTTTGATCCCTGGTACCAAAAAAACACTTACAGCACAAGAGAGGTACCATTCTCTTCACAATTTTGCAGGATTTAATGGGTGCTAATATTTATCTCTATCAAGATTGCCTTTATATGGGGGTGTGGAGATAGCTCAATAGAATAAGCACTTGCCTGGCAAGCGCAAGGTCCTGAGTTCAATCTCCAGTACTTCAAAAAAAAAAAAATAATACTAATAGCAATAATTGCTTCCGTATGTAGCTCAGATCCATTCCTTTCAGCGTCTCCAGTGTGTGAGCAGTGGGGCGGTGGGGCATCCTGAGTTATTTCCTCTCTAGTTTCATAAGCAGACCTTGAGTTCCGTCATGATGCCGCACCCAGCCAGTGCACCTTTTGGCCACAAGAGAATGAGACTTTCAGGTCCTCAAGCCTTTGATAAAAATGAAATCAACTCGTTACAGTCGAGTGAAGGACTTCTGGAAAAGATAATTAAACAAGCAAAGCATATTTTCCTGAGGAGTAGGTAAGGATAAAGAAAGTTGCGATTTTTCTTTGAAATTGAAGGATGTTTTTTTCCTGTATTGTTTCGTGCATGTTACTTTTGATTTTTTTTTTTTTTTTTTTTTTTTTTTTTTTTTTGCGGAACTGGGGATTGAACTCAGGGCCTTGCGCTTGCCAGGGAAGCACTTATTCCCTGAGCCATCTCCCCGGCCCCTTTAGTCTTTCTTTTCCAAGGAAAAGTTGGCTGCAGTATAGGTGTGGTGGTAGGCGGGGTCTTCTGTAGGATGAAGAAGCCTTAGATCTGTGGCCAGTTTAACATAATGGACTATTTTGAACACTGCACTAAGATTTTTGCAGACAGCTGACTAGGATTGTACTTTAAGATACCATACCTTTGGGCTGGTGAGATGGCGCAGTGGTCTAAAGCACCTACTTAGAACAAGCTTAGCAAAGCACGGACCGAGGGTCAATCCCCCAGCACCACATGCCAGCCAGCCCCGCCCCCTGGTGGGCTGAGCTGGCCACACACACACAAATAAATAAAAAAAAAAAAAAAAAAAAGATACCATACCTTTTTTTTTTATTGGTAGTGGGGATTGAACCCAGGGCCTTGTGATGTGCTCTGCCACTGAGCTGTGTCCCTAGCCCCATACTTTTTCAGTGACCCAACCATAAGGTACTTATTCCTGAACTGATTTAAATCTTTTTAAACCTTTTTAAACCTTTCTGTAAATTTTGTTTGTTACACAGTTACGGTCTAAAGGCACTTTCTTGTATGTTGACTCCGTTTCTGCTCTTTGGGGCAGATTGTATTAACTGTACTTTTACTGATGAGAAGATTGAAGTTTAGGGGGCTGGCCAAATAGCTCACCTGACTAAAGAAGCTGCAAGCAGGCGCAGTGGCCAGGGTTCAGTCCCCGGGCCTGCCATGCTGGCCTCGCCCCCGGGCGCGCTGAGACAGCAGTTAAGACTGGGCATAGTGGTGCACCTGTTATCCCAGCTCAGGCTGTAAACAGGCGGATCACTACTGGTCCAGTCTAGTACTGAAACTCTGATCACCCTGTACACCTTTCCCTAAAATACAAAAAAAAATCAAGATTGAAGTTTAGGGAAGTTAGACACCTTGTCCAAGGTTACACACTAAAAGTAACAAAGGGCTGGTGAGATGGCTCAGTGGTCTAAAGCACCTACTTAGAACAAGCTTAGCAAAGCACAGGGACCACGGTTCAATCCCCCAGCACCACATGCCAGCCAGCCCTGCCCCCTGGTGGGCTGAGCTGGCCACACACACACACACAAATAAATAAAATTTAAAAATAAAATAAAAGTAACAAAGTTAGGATTTATGTCCAAGATTATATATAAATCTAGGACTTTTTAAAAAAAATTTACATTGTTAACCAACCCTAGCCCTAAGTGGTCTTTCCTGAGTGGCAGAATGAATGGCATTAGAAAGAAACCAGCTTGTCATTAATTGTGATAATTAGTTCCAAAATTGTGTGACATTGCTGAGTGCTTTAATCCTTCCATTTTATATGGCGACTTTACAGTGTTTGACTTCCTTTTATTTTTATTTCTTATTTATTTATTTATTTTTTAATTTCCTTTCTTGTAAAGAACTGCTGCAACCATTGACAGTTTAGCAAGTCGCATTGAAGATCCTCAGATACAGGCTCACTGGTCAAATATCAATGACGTTTACGAATCCAGTGTGAAAGTGTTAATCACATCGCAGGGTTATGAACAGATATGCAAGTAAGTGCAACAGTAAAAGCAAGAAAAGTTGTTGGTGAAGTTTTTGTTTCCTAAGTGATTGCATTAAGCTTTTGGTTTTTATTTACTAGGGTGCTTTAACATTCCAGTACATTTTACTGTGAAGTATTTGTAAGAATGAGGTAAGAAATAGTAAATGTCGCACATTGGAGCTCTGCGAAAAATTATCCCCGGCACTGAACAGAAAGCTGCCTCACCCCTGAGAAGCCGGTCTTCTCAGTGGTTGCCTGAAGTGTGCTCCCACCAGTAGCGAGTGGTAGGACTTCCTCTTCCTTCACCCAGTTATCTAGAACGAAATTTAAGCCAATCCTCGTGGCACAGGCTTTCTTCCCCACCCCTGAGAGGCTGAGGCAGGCCTATGCAGCAAGACCCAGTCTCGCAGAACACAGAACAGAAAACCTTTCTTGAAGTTTGGTTAGAGTTCTATCTTTTCCTCTAAGTCTTCTGAGTTTTGTGTTTACTATGGGGAAAAAATATGGTTGTTTTTTTTTTTTTTTTTATCAAAATTACAGCCTTTTGTAAATGATTGTCAAAATGTCATTTCCAGGTCTTACTACAAAATAATTAAAAAGTGGGGCCAGGAGATGGCTCAGTAGGATAAGCGCTTGACTGGCAAATGCAAGGATCTGAGTTCAATCCCCGGTTTCGCAAAAAAAAAAAACAATAATAATAATTAAAAAGGAAATTTTATAAAATATGGAAAGACACAGTGGTAGTTTTCCTGCATTTATTCATCAAGATTACTTTGGGGAATATAATCTCTTCTACATGATATATGGTTGAATTTTTTAAGTTGCTTTGGAAGAATACAATAGGATGAGGGTTAATTATTGAATATTGCACAAGTTTTTTTGCCCTAAGAGAAGTTAATAGAGTATACATATGCTGACTTACTTGGTGATAATTTCAAAGGGAGAAAGTAAAGAATTAACTTTTCAATATGAGAATTCAACCTACAGGGCCGGCCAAATAGCTCAGCGGATTAAAGCACCTGCAAGCAGGAGCCTAGGGTCAGGGGTTCCATCCCCAGGCCTGCCATGCCAGCGCCTCCCCTCCCCCGTGCACTGAGATGGCAATTGAGACTGGTCGTGGTGACGCACACCTGTAATCCCAGCTCTTGGGAGGCTCTAAACAGGCGGATCACTATGAGTCTGATTTAGTAGTGAGACCCTCAACACCTTAAAATACAAAAAAAAAAAAAAAAAAAAAATTCAACCTGTAGTTAACTAGCTGCAGTTCCTCAAAGAGCTAATAAGGAAAGACTTTATTTGTATTACTCTGCAGTATCGCTCGTGGTACAGTGACCCCAAACTGGAAAGATGCGTCTAGATTGGGACAAGCTGTTACGCACCGATATGGTGCCGTGGGGCTTCCCTAGATGGCATGTCTCTTGAGGGCCCTGGGCACCATGCCTGGGGAGCTGGAAGGGCTCGTTGCTCCCGGAGAGCAAGGTTTCTAAGTCAGGACAGGTCTCCTGTACCAGTGTGGGGCTCTTCACGTGGATGGTGTGTGCTGTTCTGCGTCCTGCTGTGCAGAAAGCGCCGGGGCTTGGTCAGCTGAGGGAGAACTGGTGCTCAGTGCGATTGGGTAGATCGGTGAGGCCAGCTGGACCTTTCTTCTCCCCAGTGACTGTTCATGTAGGCTATTAAACTGTTGTTTGTCCTGATGTTAAAGTTTAATGTTTGTGGCATTGTGTAAGATAATTTTGAGTTTCTGATTTTTGGAATATATCTACAAAGGTCCATTCAGCTTCAGTTGAATATTGGAGTTGAGCAAATTCGAGTTGTACACAGAGATGGAAGAGTAATTACACTGTCTCATCAGGAGCAGGAGCTACAGGATTTTCTTCTGTCTCAGGTATTAGCTGCAGACTGCCATTCTCTTTTCTTTTCAGACTATAAATCTTAAACCCTTTTCTATCATAACTGCCTAGAGAATAAATTGAAGCCAGGTGTGGAAGCACATGCCTGTCATCCAGGCACTTGGGAGGCTGAGGCAGGAGGACTATTGCAAGTTCAAGACCAGCCTGGGTTACAAAGTGAGCTCAAGGCTACCCTGAACTGCACAGAGAGACCGTGGCTCAAAAAGGCCGAAAAAAAACCCAAAGAAATTCAATAAGAGGGGCTGGGGTGGGGGCTGGAGAGATGGCTCAGTGGTCTAAAGCACCTACTTGAAACAAGCTTGGCAAAGCACAGGGACCGCGGTTCGATCCCCA